AAAAATATTTTTACTAATGGATCATTTATTTTTTTATTATACTTTTTACGCATTTTAAAAAAATTAAATGAAGTTTTAAAACTAAAAAAATGTATATTTTATTTTTAGGAATTTTGATAAGAATTTATTTAAAAATAAGAAATAAAAAAATCAAATAGAATTTTTAAAATTTTCATATTTTCGTCAATATCCTGAAAAAAAAAAAGAGAAATAGGTTGGTAAAGCATCTGAAGTACTTGGGCTTGAGGCCCACAGCCCAAACGACGAAAGAGTAATGTGAAGGAATCTGCACCGTCCATTGGATCCCAAGTTCCTGTTTAAGTGACGGTCACGATTTCACGATTCGTTTTCACGAGTTTTTGCCTTGCTTTCAATTTTCCATCTTCCATTTCTGCTCTGGTGCGCTCCCATTTTCATCCCCACCGCTCTCTATTTGATGTTCTCGCGCGCCTTCTTCACGTAGAGCTCGGGGAAAACTTCACATTGAACGAGGAAGCAGCGCAGCGAAGGAGGAGTGGACGAAGATGGACGATTATACGAGAGAAATGATGGACTTGAAGACCCTTGTCACTCGGACTCTCGAGAAGAAGGGCGTCCTCGCCAAGATCCGTGTAATTCTTTTACTTTTTCCGTCGCATTCTTGAATTTTAAGCTGTTGTTTCGTTCAGATTTTCATCTCTTCCGGCCGCTACAGATCTTCTACTCGTGTTATTTGTTCTAGATTTCTCGGAATTTGGGGGTACTTGTGCTGTTGGTTGGTGAGGACTACAGAATGAGATAGGTTAAAGCTAGGGTTTTGTTTCTACCTTCAGATTTGGAAGGACGTAGGATGGAGGACAGTGAATAATTCTTCGTCTCTCTTTTTTTAGCGTTAAGCTGGTTGGAATTACAATGTAATAACTTCGAAAATTGGATCACCCTCCTAAGCTTTCAGCTATATTTTATGAAACGAAGTTAGGGCTTTCTAGAGCTCTGGGATCTTGAACTGATTGGAGATAATTTCTTATATGTCCCCTGATGTAGCGGAAGCATCTACTTAATCATGTTCTGTCTTTCAGCTTGTTCCCGTTTTTCATACGCTTCGATTATTATTCTTGAGTTATATTCAGCTTTGACATTGATCTGGTGTTAGGAGTCTTCATTATTTAATCGAAGTTCTTGAATTATCTCACCGTACATTTCTTTACTTCAGATGTCCTGTTCCATATAACAAATCATTTTTCCCTTCCTTCGTTTCCCTTGGGTTAGGCTGAACTTAGAGCTAGTGTATTTGAGGCAATTGAAGAAGAGGATCGTGTAATCGAGAAAGACGAAGGCTTGCCACCTGCATTACTTGGTAGTTGCAATGATCGAGCAAAACAGCTTCATGCTTCACCATCAGGTTCGACTACAAATATTATAAAATCAAAATAGTTTATGTTGTTCAGCTTGATATAATGTGCCCCAAGAAGTGCTAATGGGATTTTTATAGTGCCTTCCATTGGTTTATAGATAATTGAAGTTACAAGTCTAAGATGTAAAATTTTCATGTATAGGGTTCGAGAAGGGTCAAGGGTGAACTGGATTACTTTTTAGTTTGATTCAGTACTTGAAGTAATCTTATATTTTAATTGCAGGGAGGCTGCTTTCTGCTCTAATATGTGAATATTTAGATTGGGCTCAGCTAAACCACACTCTAAAAGTTTATCTCCCAGAGTGCAATATGGTAATCGAGCACATTGTCCCTTCATATGTTTCAAGTCCTCCAATGACCCCCGCACCCCCCGAGAAAAAGAAAAAAAGAAAAAAATAGGAGATCAGACCCAAAAAAGAAGGATGTACGAAGTAATATGAATTCTAATGTCTTTTGATTCTGCAGCAAAAAGATTCTTGGAAAGCTGAATTGAAGGAATTTAGTAGTAAAAACGGATACGATCTTAACAGAAATGGAGATAGTGGACCGTTGCTCTTGGATGTTCTTGAGGGATTCTTGAAATTTGAGGTTAGTTGGATCTTAACAGAAACGTTTGAATATCTTAATTACAAATTTGAAATATTCATGGTGTATATTTTCATATTATTATTTCATACAAAAAAAAAAAAAAAAAAAAAAAA